TGCTTAGGGACGTGGCTTAGTGGTGGACTTGTTAGTGCTAAGTTAACAGTTGGACTTGATGATCTTAAAGGTTTTTCCCAATCTAAATGATTCTATGATTCTGTGATTCTATGATCATAGATCTTATCCTTATCCTATGGCTCCTTTGCAAAGGTTGAATAAAATGTTTGGTACATTGATGTTTAAGTTATTACTTAATAAAATGATCAGATTGAGAGACAGAAGCACTTAAAATCTCCTGAAGCTCTTTTAAGCTGTATTCAGAGACAGGCTTTAATGTATCAAATCCTGTTGGTTCATGTTTGGAAGGATATTTTGAAATTACATTAGGAGGCTTGATTTTAAAAAATGCACTGCAATAGCTGTCCATAAAGAGAAGTATTAATTCAGTGATTTAGTATTTGGAATTAGCATAGTAGTTGCAAGCTGACTTTGTGTAATTACGCAGTATATTTTGTCTAATTTTATCATGATAATAGCAAAATTTTAAGAGTGGTATTTTTGTCATAAATGGAAGTTTTATGCAGGAACCACTCTTTCTGGAATATAGCACTGTCATTGTTTTGTGAGTTTTTTGTGTTGTTTTTTTAACTTCATTGCAAGCAGCTACAGGACTTCCAGCTTTATTGATGTTGTTCATTCTCCTCCCCTTCTTTCAGAGAGTTGTGAGAAGACTTCCCTTAGCAACCGGCAGAACCAAACTCCCACTTCTGAAGAAGCAGCAGCAGCTCTTACACTTCAAGCCTTCTGGAGAGGGACCTATGTTAGGAAAGTAATGAACAGCAGAAAACCAGGTATGTCCTTAAAAAAAAAGCCTTTTTAAAAAATGTTTCATACTTTACCTTATTCAAATATTCACTGTCAGGATTTTGGTACTAATTAATGTCTAGTAAAAATGAACTGAAATGCAATAGAATGTTATAGTTGAATCGCTGATCTCTTATAAAATTAAGAATAGCGCTCAACCTAACCACTCAATTAGCACATATGATACTAAAAAGTAGAGCAAAAACACCCTCACCTAGGTTTTCATAGATATTAAACCAGAATCTGCATTAATGTAGATTTAGCTTAGAGCTGGGCTAAACGTTATTTTTTCTGGAAGGGTAAGTGAAGTCCATACAAGAACCTAAGCGTCATAACGGATAATCAGCAGAACACAACATCAAAGCCTGATACTGTGCTCAAAAGATACTGTGCTGATACCATCCGTCATTCTTATGTATATAAATAGAGGAATCTTACATAGCAGTTGAAGACTTGTGTTACATTTCTTACTCAGCGATTCTATTATCTCAGCTGGAATACGGTGTCTGAGTGCAGTGTCCACAGTCCAATAAGACAGACAGGTAACAACTGAGAAATTCTGGGTAGAATTGTAATGATCAGAATTAAAGAAGGGTCTTGTACTTGCAGGCTGTTAGTTTGTAATTTAAAAAAGGTAAGATTAAGAATGACTTCATTGTAATCTGTAAGTACTTTAGTCTGAGATCCAAAGGGTTAACAAGAAGGTCTTTAGTCTGAGTTTCAGAGATTGTGAGTTGAATCCAGACACATTCAAGCTAGAAAAAGTGGCATTCATTTTTAAAAGGATAAGGTATTTTTTGTCATAAACTAAGATTTGTGTTGTACTGCTGAAATCAAACAGATACTCATCAAATTCAGAGAGGATTAATTCATCATTCATACATGATGAAATAGCAATTAATATGCTAACAGGACTGTTACACAGAAAGTTAGATCACATGATTTCTTGTAGCCTTGCAGTATATGAATGCCTGAGGACTGTGACAAAGAAAACTGCTCCAATTGAGAGATATACATTCCCTTTTTAGTAAGTCATACTCATTCTGCTGGAAGGTCCTTCTTGAATTACTGTCATTGCTGGGGTTCTTTTGCCTTGTATTTACCTGCACCAGCTGATCTCTTCAAGCTATCTTTTGCACCTTCATCTCCTTATCAGTAAGTCTGGTGCTGCCTCTCTCCCAAACTATCGCCTGTAGCCCAGTCTTGCTTAAGCTTTCCTACTAAGTAGTCTAGTAACCTCCTATTTTTGTTTATGAAATACCCTGTAAATTATGAATTTCTGTAAATTTTCACTGGTATTATTAATTCCTACAAATCCCAGAGCCCAGAAGCTGTTCTTCTGAATTCTAGATTTTAGATTTTTGACACTTGAGGAGACTTTTCTTCCACTGTCTATAAAGTCTTTCTTAACTTCTTCTGATTTATCAATACTCTGTTACCTTTAATTCTGGTATTTTCTTTACAGTGCTTTACTGTGGGTTTTGGGCTTTTTTCAGGCATACTATTCTTCTCATCCTCTCCCCAGTTAGCTATAATTTTTTTCTCTCCTACTTGTCAATACAGTGAAGTGTTACTACTCCCCACCCCCCTTTTTTTTTTGTTTTCCCTCTCTATTTCTGTCATTAATGGCTTATGCAATAAGGAAGGATTTCACCTAACTTTAATCTTGGAAAGTTAGACAACAGGTGTAAATGAGTTGCCTAGTCTTCATCTGTATTCTGTGGATAGAAGTAGACACCTTGAGATGACAACACATCCTGTCATCTGAGATGTATTAAACATGGGTGGGAAGAATTACCTGCTGGACCTGCCCAATTCTTTTCTTTTTAGCTACACAGATTGCCCAGGCACATACCTGCCCCTTCATAGTGTCTGCAAATAAACGGTGCTTGGAGCTAAACTCTGTATTCTCCAAGGACGAAGATCACCTCATAGCCTCATATCACTACAACATGTTACAGTGAAAAAACTGTAAATCAGAGAAAATGTTGATCACATCGTTTTTGCAGGTGTAGAAATACTGAAAAGTACAAAGGTGATGATGAAGGGAATTTCCTCTTGTCAAAGGAGAAATTAGTTTTCAGCTCAGTGAGACTTCTGTAAAATTCCAAATAAAAAATAGTGATTCATAAGGCAATTTACTTGCGTGAGTGGCATTTTTCACATGTATTTAGCAGATTTATATTTAGAACAATACAAAGTTAGATGCTATATTTTTCTAATTTATTTTATTATTTCCAGGTACTAAAGAAAACACTAACGTCAAAGAAACCTTGCAAAAATTGTGGACTGTGATTGAGTTAGATTTTGAACAGTGTGCTGTAATGCTGTTAAGGTAATCATGTAATAAATTAAACTATTTTATTGCAGCCAGTACCATAGAATTGCCGTAAATTACTGGTTTGCAAAATAAATATTGTAAGAGCATTACTAGTTTTAAAATTACAAAAATCTCTTTTGGAAGGGATAAGATGTTTTTAGTGAAGATATGCTATGCTTTATTCTGTGTACCCTACATGACTAAAACTGTAGCAAATGTAATTTTTAGGTATGTGTTACAGGTTTTTTCGTACAGCTTGAGCTAGAATATTACCTTTCTCCTGTATTTAATTTTTTAATAACCTGTAGGCTGTTTCATAAGGATAAATCTGATACTGATTCCTTAGTTGAAGAGCTAACCAGATGATTTAAAGAAGCATTTTGATTCATGCTATCTGTTAAGGAACCCTGGTTGGCCTTAGAAAGGAGATAACCATGCTATTTAACTGTACTACAGTTTATATCATCAGAGGATTTGTTTGTAGCAGTTGCTTGAAGGAAAGTAGATGTATTTCTAGGTAGACGCGTTCCCTGGTATTTAATTACAGCTTTTGCCAAGATAGCTATTCTAATTTCAACAGTGTTCCGGAAGTCATTTGCAAGCATGACACTCTTCGGGGATCATGTATTTTCATTAAGTCCTTCAAAAATTTCTCTGCAAGTGTTCACACAACTGACCTAGCAGGTCACCTGCCAGGGGTGAGCAGTGAGAACTGGCAATAATTACTGGCTGTGGGTATGAATCCTCACTCCTTATAACCAGCAGTTGGAGGAACACTCATATGGGCTATAATTTTATTTCACTTTTCAGTGTTTCTAGTCCTGCAAAACCTGTTTATGTTGATGGAATCAGGACTTATGGGACTGATTCTTAGGCATTGTTCCAAGAGATACATTTGAGTGTTAAAATCATGCTAATGTGATTTTGTTTAATTTTTTTCTAACAGCTGACAGACTTGCATTCAATAGAACAAGTTAGCACCTTGGCCGATAAAGTAATGTGGAGGAATTTTGGAAGTTCAACTTTCCCATTCTCTAACCCCAGACTTACTGGAGGCCAGAAGCAGTACCATTTTACAACACAAACACCAGTTTAAAATGACCTAAAACCTCTCAATTTGTGCTAGGGTTGCCACCTGTTTCTTATTATACATCGCATATAAGCTCATCTATGTTTGTCCCTACTATAATTTTCAATGAATTAAAAATTGGAGGTTTGTGAGGGTCTTTTTCTGTCTCTGTGTGTGCTGTTTATCAGTGGTGGAAGGAACCTTTGCAAAGCTTCATGGACTGAGATTTCAAACTGTTCTGCTTTAAATTACTTCTGGCAATATTTGCATTCATTCTGTGACTCACCTTAATTAAATGTCAAGGTCAGCTATTATCGTTGCTGAAAACATGAATGTGGAGATTGTTTCTGTAATTCCAATTACTATATAGGAATAACAGAACATTAGAGTAGCATTGTCCAAATTCTGTGGACAAAACTTTTGCAGTTGAAGAACCTGAACATGTTCGTATTCGACACAGAAAAGAAAACAGGTATCACCGACAATAGATGTTGTGAGGTTTCTTTTAGACTATCCACTTACATAAACCATATAAACCAAACTTTGAATTAGAGGAATTAAAAGATAGCAGAAAAAATATATTGTTTACTTACTGCAGAAAGGAGGTAGTTAAAGAATAAAGGAAGACAGAGGGGGTGGCGGGGAGAAGGGTATCATTTCCTTCACCTCTGTGTAGGCCTATTTTCAGTCACAATCTCCAGAGAAAATCACTGGACGGAGCCAAAAGATGGAATGAGACCCGTCATTTTTCTTCTGCCCTTCACCCAACAACCTGTTTACAGAATGGTGAATTTCTTGTGCTAGTCTTCACATTGCTTTGTCCAGAGGAACATTAATTTTTGATGCTGCATATGATAAATAAAAATTCTTGGTGTCAGGTGCCAGTGAGGTTAGCTGTACTTTCACAGAACTTCATAACACTTGTGAGTTTATTAGTCTTACAAATAACTTCTGAAATGCAGTTTAGGTTCCTTCCTGGGTGAAAGGAATGTCTTTCATCTCATTTTAAATTTATTTGTTTTTGCTTTTATTCCTTTCTTGTTCAAAAAGTTTGAAAAGAAAATAAAGGTTTTTTAAATCTCCTAATGATAACACAGCTTTAAGATGACAGCTTCGTATAAAGGAATATAAGTTATGCTGATTTATTATTTTTTGAGAGTGAACAGCATTTTATATCATTGTTTTACATTCATGCACAAAGCAGTTTTCTTCATGATTAGCGTAAGTTAAAGTCAAGAAGTGTGTGCCCTTCTGATTAGATTTAAGTATTTATCTTGTTTTCTGCTTCCAGAGAAATGTTTAAAAGAAACAGTAAGTCAATTGAAAAGTTTCCTTGTTATGAAGATGAATGGTGTAAGATCTCTTTTGCTGACTATGCTGTAACGTATGCCGATCAGCCACCAAATGTGTGGTTTGTCGTTTTTAGGTGAGTTTCATACAGCCCTGTGTAACACTTACGAGAAAGTAGTATTAATACACTGTGGTTTTTCACTAACCTGCTTTAAAAATGTAATTGTACATAAGTATACTTTCTTTAAATTTTAATGTATACTTTTACTTCATGTTACACAAATCTTTTTGTGAAAATAATTTTAATATAATTTTAGTTTCTTTTTCTTTAGAGAAATATTTATTGTTCCAGAAGACATGCTTGTAGTGCCAAAGATGTATACCACTATCCCTTCCTGTAGACTTCATGTCATTGACAATGACACACTGGAGGAAATGCCACATGTCTTTTTCAAAGTGGCACCTTGTGTTTATCCCAGAAATAAGGTAAATGCAAAAAGTCGTGAAAAGTATAATTTTTAAATTAATAAGAAAATAAATTCTGTGGACATTTTCAGCTATGTCATTATGTTCTACTTAGAAGTGTGCCCTTATTTATTAGCAAGCTTGAACAGAGACTATCACTGATCTGCTTCTGTGCTAAACTTTTTGCAGTGAAGGAATAGCCTTAATTTTCTTTGATATTTTTTACTGTCACTAAATGGAGGAATATTATCCAACTTCCCTGTGCTGTGCTACTCAGTGACAATATGGTTGCTGCTGATGCTGTTCATCTGACAGAACAACCTTCAGGAGTGAGGGGCCAAACTAAGAATGAGTTTGAATAGCCTTTTATAGGTCATGCTGACAATAATTAAGTTAACATGTATCTTCAGGTGCTAGTGATAATTGCAACATTGATGCCAAATACAGCTTTAGATATGTTCCCCCTCAAAGCCTGTATGTTATCTCAGGAGCATTACTGTAAATTGCTTCTAAAAAAATAACTGTATTGTTAAGTAATTATCACAGCTTCCTCTCCTCCTGCCTTTTTACCTTTAGACTAAAAAAGACAGTTTGCTCAGTCTTTCCTTGCATGTTAGATATTCTACACTCTTGATTACTCTCTCCTCTGGAGTCTTTCCAATCACTGCTGTTTTTTTTCTTGTTTATCATGCACAACACTGAGCACAGTAAACTTTGCCCAAGGATTAACGTGTGGCCATACAAATGATGAGTAAGGAACGATTAGTTTACATGTCTTGTGGGCTTTATTTCTGCTTATATATCCAACTGTGATGCTTGCCCTATTTTGCAACACCATTGTTGACTCATGTATTTCTGTAACCCTAAGTGCTTTCCTGAAGAACTGAATCTTGTAGCTTATTATTCTTGACTAAATCTAGTGCATTTCACTACTGATTTTAATGCTATTTTTTAGACCAATTTACCTAGTTCAAAATAATCTTGAATTCTTATTTTCTCTTCCTCTAAAGTTACAATCCTTCTTAGTATGTGGTATCAGCTAATTAAACATATATGTTCTCCATTCCACCATCCACATTACTAATAAAAATATTGAGTGAAGTCAGGTTCAGGTTAGATCTTTGAAATCTCAATGATTGCATACTGCTCTTCCAAAAGGAGCCATGAGTATGTACTTTCTGGATGTGACTGTCCAACAGCCACCCTAGTTTCTTCATTATGACAGCATTTCCTTAGGCTTAGAAGAATGATCAGAGAGACAGTGTCAGGTGTCTCCTTCATTCCCATAGTGTTCTTTCCTATAGAAGGAAGCTTGAGGGATTTGATAGGCATTGGTTTTTGCAGTCCCTTTGCTATGTTGAGGACATTGCAAGGAGTTCATTTTATTAGTTGTTTCCTGTTGGAGTTACGCTGAGTGATAATTTTCTAGACACCTTTGTCCATCTAAAAAAAATACAACATTGCAGTTCTGTAGTCTTCCAGTACCTTATCTGTTCACCATCAGTTATCAAATATAATTTTAAAGTTTTGTGGTTGTTTTAACCTGTTATTTAATTATCCTTCAGACAGTTCAGAAGTTCATCAGACCTAACTAATCCAAAACTTTATATAATCACTTACTACTTCTTTTCCTATGCTGGCCTGCCTCTTACCTCTTTAACATTACCCCTAATATTAACTATTCTAGCCACGTGTTCACAGTTGACTTTTTCATGAAGACAGGTTCACATTTTAGTCCTCTCAGTCTCACCTGTCAATAACAAGGAATTTGAAGTTAGTTACAGTCTAACACTGTAGGAGTAGTTTTCTTGTCTTTGTTTTGTAACTTCCAATTTCATCAGACTTTTTTTTTTCACTAGAATGAACTTGCCTTATCTAGTGTTTATAGTGAATATTAGCTGAATGTGACAGATAAGGACTGTTCCTGCTGGAGGAATATGCTTTAAAAAGAAGGGTTGCAGACAAACTTTTCAAGCTCTCAAAACTAATTTGGGATCCTCAGAGATGGGGTTCTGGATTCCACCAGACAGGAAAAATCAAAATCCAACAGTGGCAAGTGTCAGGATGCAAAAAGTAATGTTCAGTGGTGAACACTACTTACTGTTTTCGGGAAAGTGATGGGTTGTGGAAAGGACAATCGCAACTTCAGATTTATTTCAGATCTCAGCATTTGTCCTGCTTAGCAGGATACAGCTGTCTAGTTCTGTCTTGTAAGGCAGGTTTTCCATTTCCATTATTTTACTAATTTTTTCTCGGATCTCCTCCCATTTAAGATGCCTTTCTTGAATAAAGATGTCCAGAATTGTACACAATGTTCCAAATAAGGTCTTATGAACACTTTGTGCAGTACAGTGGTTTTAATATTGGAAATGCTTTTATTGCTATGTGCTACCCCACCTGGTATGTTCCTGGTATGTTCCATAATATTATTTTTTTCATGGGTACCGCACAATAGCCTCAGTGATTCTGTCATTAACTAATGAGAATGGCCCTTTTTATTTTAGTCCTGTCCTTCCTTATTGAAGAAGTCCACACTCTAAAGCAGACATTTGTGTTATTATTCTTTAAACTAATGATGCACATTTTAAAATATTAAACGTGGTTAATATCAGAAAAGAGTGATTTTGGTTTAAGAGCATTACAACAGAATTGTGCAGGTATGCTATATTTTTCTACTTGTTCTTACTACATTTCTTAATCACTGCTGCTGAGTTTCTCAGTAAGAATATAACCCCATACTGTACAATTTAGTTTGGTTTCTTCCTACTTGTAAATGGTTTGTTAATGTTTCAGTGGACCTGCAAAAGCTATTGAAAGCTCTATTGATGTTTTGAGAAGACATTATGCAATTATTATGAAACAAAGAATACAATGGTGGTATTTTAATGTTAGCTTTCTTTTTAACAGTATTTTGTAAAAGACAAAGTCAACAATGTAATGCATCAAGTAAGAAATTATACAGTATGCCCAAATTCCTAAATATACATATTAATAAAAAATTTTTTTTTTTTTTAAACAAACCTACCAGTTAGTTATTCTGATTCAAAACTATGAGTCAGCAATTTACGAGAGAACTAAAAAGAAATCCTATCAACAGATACTGTAATTCTGCTGCAGAGACACTCCTGGAACACATTATTGTTCATTTCAGAATGTTTGACAATAAGGATAAAATCTGCACACTAGCAATAATGTCTGTCTTCTTTCTGCAGACGTTACAATCTAGAGAGAAACTATCTACTTGCTTTGCATTATTTGGATTTTTTTTTGCATTAAATTTTCTTCTTTCATGGGTAGTTTTTTGTACTGACAGATACAGTTGTGTTTGGGTTTTCTTTTACTTCTACTCTATTATTCACAAGTCTTTTGAATAGATTGTAGAAAACGATAAAGATAAGCATTCCTCAAGCTTCAGCTGACCAACAAAGATAAGAGGTTAAGAAAGCATCACTAACAACACATCTAGTCTAGAAAGTAGACACCTATTCGAGCAAGGACACTGATCAGTTCTCTTCTTGACTAGTCATAGAAGGACATAAGGAAACCATCTTTCTTTACCAAAAAGTTAGTTTAGGTGGTATATTAGAAAACAACCCTTTCTGATTTTAGAGACAGTGAATTGTAACAAGATATCTAAGTAGGTAATGAAACCTTTCAAAGATTTTTAAGACAGAGACATAAAACTGATGGAGTTGTCTAGATCTGTAGGTTTATTTCTCAGTAGTGACTGATGATTACTCTGTGTTCCTATCAGCCACAAAATTCAGTTATTGTGCCAATTGCTTTATAGTATTCAGAAAGTTCGTACTTAAACAATTTTTTGATCTTAAATCTAAATTTTCTGCATATTTATAGTGAACATTAAGATTGTATAACCTTATCTTTGTAAACAGGTATACAACAAAGAGTGTTTTTCTCAGGTACACCATGCTGTCAGAAAGCACTGAGTATCTGGCTAAACCCCTCTTAGTTTCCAAGTGTACTTGTTAAGAACGGGGGGACTTAACTGTATGCTTAAATAGATATCTAAATAAGTGAGTTCAGTTGAATCATAGCTTTGAATGGTTGCTATTACCTTGTAGTGATTAAAGGGTATAAAGTGCTTTACAGTTACAATTGCGCAAATTGGAAACATGAATAATTTCTTTTACTTTCATTCTAAATATTCAGTAGTCCTGAGTCACAACCCTGCATTATCGGATAGTGCTGAATGCACAACCCTATTTATTACAAGAATTTTTCAACAAAGCATTTTTACAGGTAAATACTGATTTCTTTTAGCTGAAATTTAGCAGAGGACTACAAAGAGAGAAAACCTTTCAAAGAATTTTCATCAGGACTCTTACTTGGATGGAACATGAAATTTTAATGTGTGAAAAAGCAAGTTGGTAGGGCTGGTATGGAGAATTTGAAGAAGGGACTTCATCCCGAGTTCCCCTGTTATATTACAATTGGCCATTGCACTCATTATATCCCTTTTCCCCTGCCCTGTCTTTCAGGTAATCACATTCATATTGCCTTCTTTTTTCAAATACAAAATAAAATCAAATTTTGAAACCTTTTAAATTATATTTTGGTTTCCCATATTCCTCTTTTCAGGATTCATAAGGAGCGGCTGAATCTGCATCAGGCTTATTGCATGTTGCATTTTTCATTAATGTTTAATTTGATTTTTCTAATAGTAGAAATATGTTTTTATTAAATCAACATATTCATAAAAATAAGATTAATATCCTGATATTTAACACTGTACTTGCAATGACATTATTAAAAGTAAGGGCAATATTAATTTAACCTCAGATTTTAACACGGAATCTGATCTCTAGATTTCGATGCAGCAAATTGCATTCACCCATAGTTTCACTCTGCCTTACAGCATGAAGAGACATTTTTAAATCTCTGATTTATCAGTGAATGCAGTTATTTTCATGTTTACATTTTATTTTTATCTAATTTAGTTTTCTTACATGTGAGGACAGCTAACTTTTGCTAAATGTCTTGTGAATGTGGCATGAATTGCCAAAATAATAGTTTCCTTATCTTCAGCTCTGGTCACCTTTGGACTTACAAGTATGTATAATCTCAAAATCGTTGCACAGTTTTCAAACACATCAATACTTTACAATACACGTCTTTCTTACATCTGGCATAGAGGCTAGACGTTTCCCAGCAATAGTAGAGAAGAGGGCTTGATGTGATTGTCTCAGAGTTGGTGTGGAAGTTCTTGGCTTATGCAGTCTTTAACTCTTTCTTCGGTATATCTGCTACTACTATTACTACTACTACTACTATCACCACCACTACCACCACATATAGTTTTGTTCAGATAACAACAGGGAAAAAATATTTTGTACGATGTGAAAAGACTTTGATTGATACTATTGCTGATGGTTTTACAAGAAAAAGAATGGTAATATTACAGAACCTAGAGATGTATAGATGTGTTTGATCTGGGATAGTAGTAGTAGTATGATGTACGAAGTACATCATAGTAGTATGTGTTTGCATAGTAGTATGATGTACAAAGCAAGAAAATACATTGAATATGTTTTACTGAACTTTGGTCATGTTATAAGAAGACTTTTCAGAATAGAATACTGCACGTGCTTAAATAAAAGAGTAAGAACTCATTAGTATTTCTTAAATTAGACTTTCTTGAACAACTTACAGCCATCAAGTAATTTGATTAGAAAGTAACCTCAAGAGTTTGATTGTACCTGCCCTTAAAAATAAGGCCAACTTTGAAGTTAGATGAGATGGGATTTGACTTGCTGTGTAACTTTTTGCCACATGCAGATTCCTGTAATATGAGATGCTTCGTAAGTTAGACTATAATAGAACTATATAGTCTATAGACTATAATAGAACTATAGTAAGAGGACTATAGTCCTCCTTGCTTATGAAGGACATCTGATTACATTAGTAAGTGTAACGTGGACAAAAAGTGTGTTGCATGTAGTGATAGAGTGATTTTTGAGTAGTGTTATTTCCAAGTAAAAATGACATGTTTTCTCCTTTCAGAAAGGATACACATTTATGGCTGAAGCATGTACTGGTGACCTACCTATGGCAGCTGGAAGATGGAAGCTCCGGCTCATCGGTTCTCGTAGTCCACTCCCAGTTCTCTCTCGTGAGGCTGTAAATAATGTCTATTCTACTAAAGAAATTAAAGAGTATTACATACCCAATGACAAGCATGTAATGTTCAGGTAAATATTGAGAGAAGAATGATTAAATTCTGCTTTTTATATGGACCATCCCTGACAGAAAAATGTTATTTCCTCTTTCTTAGAAGGGGAAGGTGTTAAAGCAAATGTCTGAATTTTATGGGCCGTCAATGTGCAATACCAAATTTAACATTTCATTTATGAAAATGTTATTTTCTGAAATATGGTCACTGCTTAATGAAGAACAGATATGACGTACACAGGCTATAACTTTAAAATCCTAATAACAGTATTTTGCAGTTCTGTAGGCTCAATCTTGAAATCTTACCTGTACGTCAATTACTGGAATTCCATAGTACTTTTGGGGATTAAGTATGTATTAAAATCGAGATTTTGCAGATGGGGAGGAGACATAAGTTTGATACATTTTTTTCAGCTATTCAGGTAAAGCTCTAAACAAAATCTAGAAATACAACAATTTCTTTTCTGATATATCAGACCAATTTCCATCTTGCAGTGCTGGCAGAAAAATTTATATACATTCTATTTTAGCATGCTCATTCTTTTAGGAGAACATATTTAATAAAAACATCATAATTCAATTTTTATTAATGCTTTTCTAATTGTTTGAAGTTTATTAAATTCAGTTTATTCTAGTTGAGTTTGAGTTCAGAACTGACCCTGACTAAATCACTATGCTTAAGTTTTCACACAAAGGACTACACACTGCAGTAAAACAGGCCCCGTGCTGAGAGCTGAATACACATATATATTTTGAAGGTTAATTCTAGAACATTTTGCCTCGATTCATGACAATTTCTATCAATCTTTCAAATCAATGGATTATTCTCAGGATAGAGGTCTAGTCAACAAGAGGAATTAGGTTCAATATAAATGAAGAAAGCATATAATGGAAATATAACAAATGGTCTCAAATTCTGTACAGTCTATATGAGTTTGTGTTGTTTTTTTCTTTATTCCCCTGTGATGTTGCCAATCTTAAAAACGTTGAAATTATGGACAAAAAGCAAATAATATATAAATTTATGACTCGCAACAGAAATATTATTTAAATTTCCTCCCAAGACTCTAATTCCACAGACTTTAAGTTCACCAGAGTAGCAGCTGCTATCAAATGAGGTAACTCTTTTGAAAGCAAATATTTCTTTTTCTTTTCTTTTGCTCAGTTACTTTTTAATTGAAACAGTTCCCTCATCTGGCTAACCATGTTTTTCAACACATACTAGTACAGCAGGAGGGAAAATGTAAATCTGGTCATTTGATAAGGCAGTGAAAAAAAAGAAACGGCAAGACCACCCCTTCTTGCAGCAGCAACACTTACTTTGATCATAGATTCACTGCACTAAACTTCACTACAGGAGGCTTAGCCCATCAGATTGCAGGAAAACCATTGACTACAAACTCAATTTTAATCGCTTCCAGGTCAGCACAACGTTCAGGTACTTCCCTAAAAAAGAATGATCTGGCACAGTTGGTTATATTGCTATGATTTTTTTCTTCCTCTTTAGGTATTCAGTAAAAGTCACAGCGTCACATATTGCTACAGTGCAGGTACAAACCTCTAAATCAGATGTGTTCATTAAACTTCAAGTCCTAGATAATGAGGAAGAAATTGTGAGTGTCACTGGAAAGGGCCATGCAGTCATCCCTGCTTTTCATTTCTTGAGTAATGAAATGCTTTTGAGTTCCCACTGTAAGTATTGTATTCTGTATTTGATAATTTTATTCACTGAGGGACGTACATTCTTAGAGTAACTTTAGGTAATCACAGAAGATACTATTTTTTCCTATTTTTTCCAATGAATCCATAATTGCTTTGTGATTAAGTGAAATCAGCTACGTTTTTGAGCAATCAACAGGAGTCCTTGGTCCTCAGCAATGAGGAAAGGTACCAAAAGGATTGATTGAAATGAGGTGTCCAGCCTTATTTTCTTCCCCTGCCTTTTGGTCTTGTTTTGTAACTGAGTAAAAATTTTTGTGGATAATTGAAGTAGCTTCTCGGTTCTGATAATTTTATGTATATACTTGTCCTTGAGAATTGAAATATGTTTTATTTTCATGATCTTGCCTTTATTAGTTTGATCTTAAAGTTCAAAAGATTTTGGCTGTTAGGAAACTGATGCCCAGACCATGAGACATGGTAGATAATTCAGAGTACAATGAGCCCTATGGTTTAAATGCACCATCTTGAGCATCATTCCTTTTAGCAGAAGTACACATTTTATTGGCTTCCTATCCATCATATGAGCCCCAGAGTACAAGGCAAAAGACGCTTGAATAAAAGATACGGTGTTTATCCTTAAGAAAAACTCTCCATTTTTGACTCTGCCTCTGCTACTGCTTCACAATGTTATTCATGGAAATAGAAGACACTGAAGGAAGAGCTACTTGCCCCAGACAAAGTTCATAAATGCCCATTATGCCATTGTCAATTATTTACGATAGCAACTGAAATACTGAGAAAAATTATCCCTTATGGGAATATATGAATTTAAATAACATTTCTTTTGAAACAAATTTATTTGAAAGTTACAGCAAACACCTCACTCATTTTTGGCTAAAAGTTGAATCTGAGAAGTTTATTGCCTCAAAATTACTTTTTTTTTTAAATTTTAAATTTTATTGACATTCACTACATTGCAGTCTTGTCAGCTCAGCTTTTTTTAAAGGTGAGAACCAGTGTGTGTTCAAAGGTCACCTTTCATAAGTATGCTAAAATCCATGTATTCTCTCAAAGTACTTTGAAACTATTGATTGTGCCTAACAAAAATCCAGCTGGCATCAGTCAAAACTGATGTTCTGTAGTCCAGCACACTGCCACTTTGAATCTAGTGTATGCCCAAGCCTGGCAGTATATAAATACTTGGGGAAGGGACAGGGAAGTAAAGAAAATGAAGCCAAACTCTTTTCAGTGACACCCAGTGAGAAGACAAGAGGCAATGGGCACAAACTGAAATACAGAAAATATAATTTAAGCATTAGAAAAGGTAATTTGGAGGAAGAGGTTTTTTTGTTTTGTTTTTTTTGTTTCATTTTTACTCTTAGAGTGCCAAACACTGCAACAGGTTGCCCAGAGAGGTTTTGGAGTTTTCATCCTTGGAGATAATCAAAACCCAACTGTACATGGCTGTGAGCAACCTGCCCTAGCTGACCTTGCTTTTAGCAATGGGGTTGAACTAACTGATCTCCAGAGGCGTCTTCCAGCCTCTGCGAGGACCATTCAGCCTTCTGTGATCCTGTGATACCAGTTAGTAGTTAAGGCTTATGGTTGTTGTTTTTTTTCTTCATGATACACAAATAATCCAGTTTCCTTGGATGTGCTGTCCAATGAAACAGGTTCTCATTTACAACCGGACTTAATAGAGAGAGCCTTCAGCTTGAGATTGTGGCAGTGCTCTGCCATCATCCCCCTCTGATGCAGCAAGATAACTTCCTGCACCATCTTAGAGGGCAGAGTTAGGTTATCTCGACATCCTCTTTCATGCTTCACTTCCAGGCTTTCGGAAGTTAAGAGTTCTGCCAAACTCTGTATTCAAGAGCTACAATCAGACAACATCAGCTGTTTGTTACTGGCATTTTTATTGTTTGATAACAGCAGGGCTGGGCTACAAAAGAAGCTAAAACAAAACTGGAATGAAAATTTTGTCGTCTGAAAGTACACTCAGCCAGTTGATCGACACTTGATTTTTAAGAGATGTTTAATTTTACTGCTCAGAAGCAATAAATACAGCTTAATGAGGTACCTAATTCTTAGGCATATTTTCAAAAATTGGCTCTGTAGTGCTCAGGTCATTTTTAACAAAAATGAAGTACCTTCTACCTGCTCCCACAACACTTATTATATGTAGTAAATTTTAGATGCTGCTGCCATGCCGTCTTAACTTCAATTCTTAATCAAGCTATTTCCATCTTATTTGTAAGATTGTATACTATTTTGAATTTTTCATTATGGGTTTAATTTTAAAAATATGCATTCTTCATAAGCATTGCAAGTTTGCTTAAATAAAGCTGCTGTTTATAAGGAAACCAAGTCAGCTACTGTACTCTCCATGGAGAGTATACATATATATATATGCATATATACCACATATACCACTCTACATCAAAGTTGTAAGATATTGAAATCTTCAGTCCTTTTATGAAGACTTTAAAACAATAAATATTCTGTAAATCAATGAGTTTCTGCCTGTTTGAGCATATTCAGAACCTGAAGCAAAGACAAGTTGTTCGAATACTGGATTACTGCTTTGCTAAAGCCCAAAATAGCATAGTATTTCATGTGCTCACCTCCACTATTTCGAACTGTGTAGTTTTCTAACAGCATCCTTTAAAAAAATGTTTTATCAAAATTTCCAACATGTGGGTGGAAAATAAGTAATTTAATCATGATTATGAAACATTTTGATTTCTGTCTCAACTGCACCTTGTTATTACCAGAAATGTAAAATTAAATACTATGGAGACCATGCTCTTAAAGTGTAATCATCAGTTGATAACGTTGTGGTTTTAAAGGAAGCTATGGAGAAGCTGTCATGATTCTGTGAGTGAGTTGCCAAGATAATCAGTAGCTATTTTGGTTACTGTTTTTGGAACGTGGGAATAGGTCAGTAAACTTAATAGTAGACTGGTGGAAATAGAAGCAGGAAAGCTGTAAGATAGCTCAGATTAGGGTGAGCATCACAACTACTTGAAATAAATTGCCAAGTTACCCTCAGTAAAGTGAAGAAGAAACTTTCTTTTAGGAGATCAACTTGTTGGCAAAGATCACAGTCTAAAAACTGAAATAAGGTAAAAGGCACAATCACGTGAAAGAAGAGACAAATGGATTCCAATATATGCTGGAAGGGAGAGGATGGGGCAGAATAACTAAGAAGGACTTTTTTGTCTTTGCCAGACTAGCAGGGGTTGTAGGTGAGAACAATTTTTCAAAATACCCTCAGAAATCAGACACACACATTAGACTTTTATCTCTTATTCTTATGTGCTGTGATACAAATAATTTCTGCTATATTATTTTAATACATTGCAAATCATCCAATTAAATATCTGTTATATTAACCTGATTGAAAATAGGAGAGTTGTTGTATCAGGTTCCTATTCAGCACTGGAGTCAGTGAATTCTAACTGGAAAAAGTGGTGATGAAAGGTACTTTATTTCAAAGGGAATTTCAAAGAGTTTCTAGACCCAGCAAACTGACTGTAAAAAAGAGTTATGATTTTAGACCGTATTTGAAAGTGAAATGAATATTCTGATGCCATTTAAGTGTGTCTCAGTGTATAGAGAGCTGTCATTTGGAAGGAATGACTGTGAAGCTGCCACTGTGTGGGGTTTTTTTTTTTACTATTACAATTATTTTTACAATACTAGACCAAGTGACCTTAACAATGAAGTTCTTTTCCTATCTATATGCAGCCTGTATATCACAAAGATGACATTTTGTGTAAGTGTTCCAGATCTTTCTGACCATCCAAACTAAATGAACACATTATGAAATGTACTAAAGTATAACCAATATGACAGTATCATATTACCCAACCTGCTGAGTGTCTGGAGGTGCAATTTATGGCATTGCAAAAGCATGTTTCTTTGGCATTGTCAAAAGTGTTAGGAAATTCTGGCCTGTACAATAACAATATAGGAACCTCCATAAATACTGATGCCAGGTTCAGGTGGGGATTTGTACAATCGACATTCAATACACGATTCATACCATCAGGATCTAGTTGTTCTCTAGAAAAGTGTGTTTTCACAGAATAGGAATAATCAGAAACCAGTGCTATACCACCAGCACCAAACTTGTTAGTTAGGCAAGACACAATCCTCACATTTGAGACCTATTCAGTATTGCACATCTTCTGCCTCTCATAGAATTGATCACTGTGTTGACAGAGGTATTCTTAAGTGAAATTATTGTGCAAATATCACCCATAAAACGTTATTCCCCTTTCCCACCCACAATCTGCTAATTCATCTCGTCACAGCTGTTTTATAAATGTCTTTTATAGCTCAAAAACTACATTCAATCAGTTGATTTTTAATATATGTACCTCTTCTGAGATGTAGTGGATGACATGGATCTTGAACACTCGCTTGCCAATAAAGGAGTTAGATATTGACATGTTGCAAGTGCAACTTGTTTTGTTGATACAAGCACAGCAGTCCTGTAGCACAGGTGGACAAGTGAATGCTCATAATCCTTTTATTTTCCATAGTAGCAGTCTGATACAGTCCAGTCTCAAAGTATCAAAATCTCATTCAGTTATTTGTTTGAATCAGGAACCAAGGTAGGTACGAGTCCCTTCTAGGCAGAGGTTTGCTTAGGAAAAACGAGAGTATTTATCTGTGGGGTAAGAAGAGAAATTTGGTGTCACAGCACCGCCTGGTGACTATTGCTAGAACTATTATTTTGGTTATGTGTGAGTTTTTGGGAACTTTCCGAGTCATCTTTCCAGCAAGGGCAGAATGAGTCTTATGCAGGATTCCACCATTCTGAGCTGAATTATCTTCATGGCAGGATCATCCTCTCGGCAAACAATTATAGAATTCTTCAATACTTATGCTCTTCAGGTTTAGGAGAGAGAGAAGAGGGGAATAGTGAGGCATTCATGAAAGCTAATTAGAGCCTAATGAATACAACCTCCCTTGAAGCCCACCTACCTTGGTAGGTAGAAGTAGGCTCTTTCAGAGGGCAGTGCACAGCTCATAAAGCCCAGAAATCAGACCTCCTGGAGAGAAGCTCACCTCTTTGTTGACTACAAGGAGGAGTACATTTAGTTGGCCTCACTTCTTTAAAGCTGCCTTTTTACAAATGATTTGCACTGCCCCTTGATAACAGTGCTCAGGCAGGTATTGAAGATCCTTCCTGAATAGAAACTTTCATGCAAGTATTGTAAATGGTACTCTAAAGACAAGTTACCAACTGGAAAATAAGGGTATGTAAAGGTATTTTTCCATTTGGAATCCAAATTGTTTCTTTGCTGCAGGTTTTCACACAGATGTAAAAGAATGTGCAAGACTCTGGTCCCTGGATAGTGTTTCTTCTTCATCCAAATGCATTTCTCTTGAATGAAAGCCTCATGATTTTGGTTCCCTCTGGTGGATGACTTGATAATCTAACTACTGTGAGTTATGTCTTCTCTCACCTTCACAGAATGGGAAGCTAACCGATACCTGGAAAGCTCAGCAGGCTCTATTTGAGTGAGAAACTATTCCACAGATACAGGTTTTCTTAGGCATATCTTTTACAAAACAACACTTGGAGTGGTGTGTTAGAAGAAAATGGGTTAGAAGAAACCAAACGTTGTCTTCCTTCAAGTCTCTCTCACAGGCTTACCCTTCTTACCATGGGGACAGCAACAGGGATAGCTCAGGTGCTAAAGATTCTGAATGTCATGCAGAAGAGCAACTCATAGCTTGTGATGAGGAGTTTGAGACATCTTGAAGAAAGCATCTGTGCACGGTCTTGTTTTCATTTCCTGACTTGTACTGATTTTCTTAGGAAAAAAGGAAACACTGCCTTATGCAGAGGAAAGGTGGGATAGCAAGTGTTCCGTGGCATTTGACTTCCATAAGAAAGTACTTCCTGGCTCCCTTTGAGTTTCTAGTGGCACACTTAATCTTTTATTTGGCATTTATACACTTATACACCACCTGTAAAATTTGCTGAATCTGGTCTAACAGTCCTGTCAGCTCCTGTGAACTTCCCTGGATGTTTTGTCAACACACGAAACTCTGTACATTTTTGTTTTGAAGTGTTGCAATGATACAGTATCATCCTTTGCTTCTACAATAAACCTTGGGAAGAGTGAAGCCTTTTGTCTCCAGTAAAGTCAAAAAGATCTCTCTTTTCCAGTTGATGGTCCAGCTATTGTTAGTGTAACACAGGTGAAGCTGCTTCCCCTGTGTTAAAAATGAGGTGTCATTTTTGCCCTTATTTAATTTTCTATGAGATATTCCTTTCTAAAATTCTCTTTCCTTTCCCTGTAGACACTCAGGCGAGATAATATCATAAATATCAGTGGCGTTAAAAATTAACAAGTTTACGTTTTCTGGATTAATACTTCTGTTACAGCTCTTCTTTAGCATGTTCCTGGTTTCACGATTTTTCCACATGAGTTCCTTCCCTAGGAGACAATGATATAACTTTAAAAATGATAGACCACAAATAGTTCTAAAGCTCTTTTCAAGATTGGCTTTTTTTAAACTTTAGTCAGCCATAATCTTTGTGGCAGGTTGACATAAGAGACTGCAGTAAGGGTAGGAGTGGCCAGAACTGTGGCCAATGCACCGCTCCCTGCCTTCCACAGGTGCACACAACCTCTAAAATTAGAAGTTAGCTACACAGAGATCCCACCTTACAGTGTACAAGCCTACCTGTGGTAGGTACTGTATAGCATGGCGCTGTGGTAGTTAGTGCTGGAAAGAAGTGTGGAGTTTTGGGGGAAAAAATTACACATTTTATAAACAGTAGCAACAGTTATGTATACAGTCTTTCAAATTTCTCATTATGTACTTTGAAGAGATTTGTGATTTGCATGCCGAATTAAATCAGGATAGTATTTGGAATAAGTGTCATTTTAATTGGAACCTAGTGAGCGTAATACAGCATGAGAAAATTGACTATGGTAATTCTTTCTTATATTTCTGGAGGCATCTGTTTACCTCATACCAATAATTCATAGAATTTCTTGAAGTTAACACTGAAATTTTTTATCATCTTGCAGCAAGCAAAACCCAGGTTATTCAAAGTAGTATGAAGAAGGAATCAGAAACTGGAGGATCCAAAAAAAAAGGTCATATTTCATCTTCAAAGGACACCAAAACTTCTTTCAAGCCCGGACTTGTACGAGAAGATCCAGCTATATTAGAAGATGAATCTTTTCTCTTGGAAAACTTTCAAGATAATGATGGAAGTCCACAACAAGTAAGACATTTCAAATCATTGGGACTTGGGAAAAAAACCCACCAAACAATGACGGGGTATGGATAATTCTTTTGGTACATGTGGAGATCTGATATCCTGAGGCAAGAACAAGGAATCCAAAATTAAGACTGTTGGTAGCTTCTGAATGAGGCTATGGAGAAAGGATAATGTACATATATTAATAACCAAATAACAAGAGATCATTTTTGTTTTCAAATCAAGGTGATATATTCAATCTTTAAATGTTCTTCATTTGCTAAGTCCAGTTCAAATACAGTCTTTCAGCTAAGGGCCAAAAACTACCAGTAATGAAGTTAAACTTCTGATGCTTCAGTGCGAGTTTTCTTTGAAATACGATGTAAGAGAAGGCCATCTTTAATAGTTTTAATAGAGAAACACCTATTGCCAGTCACCTGAAAGCTTTAGTAACACACAAACAACAGCTGCTACTTGAGCCAAGTTTTTCAGAGAGGGATGTCAAAAATGTGGATTTTTCTTAATTTCACCTAGTATTATTTGTATATCTTAGAAAAATAACATTTATTTTCTAAAACAGTTCTTGTTTGTCCCCAAGTGTTACTCTACTGTGATTTTTCCTGATAATTGAGTTCAATTGCAACAAAATATTCCAAGAAAAAAAAAAATAATTGAGAAATAAATTCCAGGGTTGTTCTTTGACTCAGAACTGGCTTTAGAATTTGGAAAACAATTTTTGAAGAGAATCATTTCTTGTTCAGTATAGACAATGTTTAAAATAACCCACGGACCCTTTTACCTCTACCTCAAATTAAGACATTATTGAGTGCTAGTATTAGGACTCAAAGCTCTTTAGTAAGTCTTAAACTCAAAGACAAAAGATTTGTTTTAGCACATGGCATACATAGGAAAGTTACATGGAAATCTTAAAGGAATGTAGCTCCTTATTGTATAGCCTAGTTTAGTTTCACTTGATAAATACATGAGTAATTGTTTAATTTCACAGGAATTAAAATAAAATCTGTGGAATTAACACTAATTTTTTAAGCTGCTTGTGAATACTGTAATATGCAAGCTTGTAAATTAATTATGTGTTTTATTTGCTGAATTCAATAGCTGGCAGTTTACTCACCTACAAGACTTTTGAACGCTTACTATAATTGTTATGTCTTCAGCATGTTAACATATAGCATTTCCTTTCACAGTCTCACAAGTACGTCATACAAGCATTGGTGCTATATAATAGTTGGCCACTTACTGAGAGTCAGTCTCTGTTTGTTCAGGCACTGAAAGAAATGGAGAAAAATGAAATTAAAGGTTGGTTCGATCTAAGTATGTATTTAGTCAAATGCATCATGTTACTGATTTTTAAAAAAAATGTTATATTGCTACAAGCCAAGACAATATGATATTTTTTTCTTTTATTCACGACTTGAGTGAAATAATTAAGCAACAAAGCTCTTTGTTCTGTGGTTTGTAGAAATGAAGTTTGATTGCTGTGAACTGTACCTTCAGTTCACAAATTATATAGAAAGCAGAGAATATTCTGCAAAACTCACCTGAGCTTGTTAGGGCTTAACTTTAGGTAGGGATGTGGAACAGTTGTATGACTGCTTCTACAGTCAGAGAGACCTATGAAGTGTAATACAAAGGCACGGTGCCCTGACAAAGTACATCCAAACACAGAAGTTTCTACCAAAACTAGAGAAACACACCTGCTGATAATTTAAGAACATGCACTGACAGGAGGGAAAAAAAAGGCCTGTTTTGGGATATGTATTACTTCTGGGAGAAGAGTTTAGGCAGGAGGCAAGACTAGGAAAGGTCCCAAGGACAGACTGTCTGTCCCAAGACAGACAAGCCAGGAAGGGGACAGAGAAATTACAGAAACTTTTCTTTTTTTTTTTCCCCAGATTCTCGTAACATTTCTTGTTAAAGGACAGAAAAAACCCCAATACGTATTAAAAGCAGGTAGAATGCTAGTCAGTGTCTTAGAAATTAGATAGATGTCTCATATTTGCTTCTCCTTTTACCACTGTTAATGATTTCGGTCTCAAAAATGTTAGAGGAAAATTTATCATGCTGGATCAAACAGTCCAAGAGAGGCGAGGCTGCTGCCACTCCATGTCCCAGGTCCAACCAGGAGCCAGGCTGAAGATGTAGTGCCAGCAGGCACACGCCCACACAGAGCACACATACGCACTACGTATATACATACATACGTTGCCAGCCACACAAATCACAAACAGACACTCAGAGCACTCACACAAACACAGAAAGCACCAATGCTCCCCTCTCCAGCTGGACAGAAGTCCACTAGTGAAACTATATATGTGTGTGTGTGTATAAGGTGGATCCTTCCAGCAGCTGGGCTTGGACACCTACTCTGCCCAGGACCCCATATGAGCTGCTGAGGCTGCAGCCCTACTCCAGCTGCTGGTGCAGACCATCACGTACGCGCGCGCGCACACACGCACGCAGCCCATCAGGACTTCCCAGGTCCCAGTAGCTGACTGGCCTGTGCTCTTGCCCCTAGGTTCCTGCAGAACCTAAAATTCCGCCCCAGTTCCACCACTCCGTAAATTTTCTGCGTCATTAATATTAAAATTCTATAACTCAATCTTTAAAATATGAGATAAGGAGAAATTATTTGCATTATCCTTCCTCATATATATACACACTTGCTAATACCCGTAAATTTTCTTAGGAAGATTTGATCTTTATTTATTAGTGGTATTTTCTCACCTTTTACTCTGGTTACATATTTCTTTTTAATGTCGGCTTGTCAGGTTTTTTTACGTTTCTATTACCCTGGACTGAAGTTAGATTCATCAGCAGTGATTGCTGACATACATTATTTCTTTTCTTGTATTTGAGTGCAACATTTGAGATTTTTTGCAGTCTTTTTTCAGCTAGCGGTACAGAACTTTACAAAGATAAATCTTGTTGGTTTACTGTAGTCCCTAGTCAGTTTTAGTAATATTTGAGGAGCTATGTCATGTAGCCTTACAGGCCTGTACGAAGACAGCGGTTCTAGTGGTCATTTCACCTGCTTCTAGCTTGTTGCATTCTTCACAGAATCGTCTTTTCTTCCTAGATTACTCCATTTATTCTCCTCATTTTCCCCTTAATGATAGACTGGTTCTTACGACAGACATCCTATACGTTGTCTTACCCTTCCCAATCGTCTACGCCGTAACAGCTTGCACTTAACACCCCAGCCACGCTACCGGTGTCTGTCCTTTCATGCGGCTATCACCATGGTCTGTAAAACTGCAGGTCAGAGGAGGTCACCTCATCTCTGAGTTTCCTCACCAGTTCTCAGCTGTTATTACTGAAGCACGTCAATGTCATGAGTTTCCCATGTTTTGTTCAAGGTAGCAGTATTCCAGGTGATGGCTTCCCTTCCCCATGCGAACCGATGCTGTGGCTCATTTCCAGTCAGCCTCAAGCCACAGTCGGTGATAACGAGCACTTTTCTCTTAGGATTCTTTTTAAATGTTGTGATTTCTGTGTTCTCTCCTAATCACTGCCTTTCAAAGTAACAGAAATCCATTTCACAGTTCATGTTAACTGGGTGTTTCTGTTTATGTAAGGATACCAACAGATTGCCCAGGCCACCAACAAAGTTCAAAAACAACATATATCATAAACAAGCAACACTTACTGTATTTACTACTTAGCATTTATTTCATGTACCCCTATTAACAGCAATATTTATCTAGAGTGATTACTACAGGTAAGTATTTTGAAAAAAACAACATTTAATCTTTGAATCTTTTTCTGGTTGTGAACTAATCCTAAAGCAATTTGAAAACCGAGCTTTACCATTTAAAGCTTCCAGCACCAGTTATCAAACACACAATTAATCTAATAGCAATGTTGGTGGCATCCTCTCACCATGTGATTTTTAAGAAAGCTGCAGCGAGCCAGGTGGAAAATTCCTGCAGCAAATTTTCACCACTTCAGGTGAAATATCACTTTTTCATGTAAACCAACAGTGCCATCTGGAGTTAGCTTTATATTAAAGCTAATTTATCATAGCAAAAGCATATTTCAGCTTTGTATTAGCATTTACTAAAGTCTTTTAAGCTACTCTCCCTTTAAACGAAGACCCATATTATTGTGCTATCAATATTCATTATTATTATAAATATTTATTAAGAACATTTTTGAAGAAAGTAAGTTCTCCAGCATACAGATGCTATGATAATTCTGTATTTTGTATTTGGTGATGTTTATTATTCTTTTCTTTCTTCAAAATCATTAATACTTCCGTTTGGCAGTACTTGTAAAAAGAGCTGTGTTAGCAAAAGTTATTTCATGACTAATATTTAGTCACATTTATTATATATGAAATCTCATTAAATGCTTTATTAAAGAGCACATTGCACAAACAAAACATTAAAAAGGCATTAACCAGGAAAACCCAAGTACACAGAAATTAGAAAGTGTCAGCTAGTGTATTATTTATACAGTCTTCATTCTTTTCTCTCTTTTTATTTTTCTTTTTTTCCTTCCACTGGGAACTGTTAATGGGGCAAGATTTCAATGGAAAAATAGTAAAAAAAAAGTAAGGTCTGGATCATAATTCTTGTGTAAAAGGGGAAAAATTAGCGGGAAATCTTGCAATGGCTAATACCATTTAAGTTGCTTGACTGTGCAAACAAAATTATTCTAAGATTAATTTTCTGTATATGACTTTCAGCTATTGCCTTTTTGGGTTCTTTGGTTTTACTTTTCTTGTAGTGAGATCATAAGTTTTATTGTGCAGTTGTCACAACCCATTGTTGAATCATCAGTGTGCACTGAATGCTGACTGCAGCATGTAGTTTATATATTGCCTTAAGTCAACTCAAGAGTGTTAGCTGATGATGAGAGAAGGCTGTCTATCCAACTGGGAGAGCAGGGCGGAGATAGGGCACGCAACCAGGTAGTAGAGGTAGGTTTGAAAGGGCAGGAGAGGCAGTATCCTTTGGAAAATTCCTTTTTTTTCTCCAGAGCTGGGAAAGGTTTTCCCACAGGTTTTCTCTTCATGCAAGAGAACTTGCTGGCTCCTGCCAAGGGCAGGATGTTTAACAAGATGTTCGGTTCTCCCTCTCTTTATCTCTTTCCCACCTTGCCTGTCCGTAGTGATTAATCACTTGCCTGGTGTTCAGTGAGAAAATAGGTCATGGAGGATATGTGATGGTGCTAGAGTTTAAAGACCTGTATGGTCTTTAAATACCTGCATGGTATAACCCCACCCTACCACTGAACCATATTGGTGGTTTCTTCTATCCTGGCGCAGTTTTACTGCAACTTTAGTGTCTGGGTGAGCCCAACTTTGGAAAGATTTTTGAGGTTGCTATCTGTCAAGAATGCTTCTGAGGGTCCAGGCAGAGACAGGAAAAGCAACATCTCAACTTCTCGGTCATTTCCTAATCAAATCTGAAAGTCTCTCATGGGGTAAGTAACAGTCATTTCTGACAACTACTGGGTAATCCCACTAAATGCTCAGAGCCTGTTTCAATAGCAGGAGCATGATATCTTCTCAAAGAAAACTTCAAAAGACTCTTCTGTATTTTACCTATGAATAAGATACATTCTCTGTAATTTGAATTTCATAAATCAGGACTAGCTGTCTATCTTGCCTAAAAAAAGAGAACTGTTGTATCTCAATCTGAAGTTATGAGTTCCAGATAGGAATCATTTGGTGTAATTATTTAGCTTGTCATAAACAGGACATCAGACTGGATGATCACTATGGTCCCTTCTGACATTACAGTAAATGAATCTCTGAGTAAATGATTGAAAAGCGGTAGAGAAGCTGATTTTAACAGTTGCTATCAGCTGTTTGTCATCACTCTCAATTGGTGTGATGCCCAAGCTCTTCTTGGTGCCACACATATGCAATAACTGCTGCTGAGAGTTTGTGACGATTGATGCATAAGTTCTGCGCTAGAATTCAGCCATGGCCTTTTTACCTTCTGCACCACCTCCCCACCTTTCTTCTTATCCCGTCCCATACATCCCTGGAAAAAGCCCCGAGGAACTACTCACGTCTCCCTTCTTAGTCAGTGGGATGCACTCCATATTGCCAAACTGCAGCCAGAGGCCCCTCCAGGAATACCTGGAGGTTGATCCCAAAACCGGGGAGGCTGCCCCCTCCGCTGAGGGAAGGCAAGGGCCGGGGGAACCTGGACAGTGCAGCGTAGCGTTAACTGAAGTCTGTCCTAAGCCTCTGTATCAGGGGTTAAAGCAGGATACCTGATTGTAGCACTGTCATTTCATGCGCTTGCTCGTTATTTACTGACTTCTCAGTGTATGCAAGAAGTCCAGAGCATCAAAATACTAAAATTTATAATTGTAAAATATTTATAGAAGACAGACAAAGCTTGTGCTATCCCATGACACAGAAAGTCTTTGTCTGATATCATGTAACTAATGACACTGAATGTCTCTTGAGTGTTTGTATAAATGATAAATAATTTATCTTTAAAAATTAATAATTCACTGAATAATGCATGTACAGCAGCCTGATTTATGGTGCTATAATGTTACGATAATGTGAAATTAAATGGAAAGCCATTTATGTAATGATATTGTAACTTCAAATAATTTAATCACTATTTATTTTATATTTGCATTTCCTCTGGAGTTGTTTCAGTATCTTCAATATTTGTGGAGACCGCTGTAATTTTTGCTTTCATTCTTTGATGTATGCTTTGGTAGCACTGAATCAATTTAAGCATAGCACTTTGGTGCCATTGTACATTATTTAAGTAGCATGAGGAGATGATAATAATACAATTTATACAAAAACACTTGTATAATGTATGTAATACACATATATGTCATATAATACATATTTGTATGTGTAGGTATATGTGTGACACAAATATGTTTATATATATTTAATAGTTACAGTTACATATATCCATATAACCTCACCCACGACATTGCAGATCTCATCCAAAGCTCCTTAAAGCCAGTGGAATATCTTCAGTGGGCTTTGGATCAAATCATGCAGCACAGTGATTTGTCCTCAGTGGAAGGGGTTAGAAAGCATAGCATTAAGTGAAAGGTACCTTGTTATTATTGGCAGATTGTAAAAGTCACTCATTTCCTCTTTTTTCTAAGAGAAATCCCCGGTTTTATTGTATTGACTAAATCTAGGTTTTCCACATTTGTTTTAATGTTTCAAGCAGTATACAGGTGGAGGGAAACAGAGATTTCAGACTCAGATTTTCAATCTTTTTCACAATGTTGTGGGTCCATCCCAAGTTGTTTCAACTGACATGCTCCTTATGCTTGTAAAGCTATATGCTATTACAGTATTTATATATTTATTTATTTTAACAAGAATATGACATGCAAAAAGTCTTGTTAACAGCTTCCATCAGATAAGACAGTGCAGAATAAATGTTACAAATGTCAATTCTCAGCATCTTTTAATTCAAACATATAGCATACACATGTACTAATAAAATAATTAATCCAGATGGTTCTCAGATAGTTCTGAGAATGATAGTTTTGAATGTCTGAAACATGCATCAAGTCTCAAATATGTTTCTTTGCCTTAACTTCCTTGCACTTTTGGTGGGGCCTGTCTTTTCTTCTGCTCTTCAGACTTTCAGGCTTACAGGGATATGAGACAGTGAGAACAATGACTTTACCTACTTTGAGCTTCTCACCTGCCTGGTGCAGAACACTGACAGAGATTATATGAGACTATACAAGGGAAATAAGAGTCAGACTGTGATTCTATACATTGCAGTCTTTGGACTGACTCACACACAAGGCAGCGGTGCAGTGACTGATGTGCAGGGACCATGGCAAACTCGCAGTTAAGCCCTGGGTGAAGTGCTATTTAGGACAGATAAGGCTGTCGCAATATGTCCACCTTGTAAGTTTGTTTTTAAAAGTTGTTTTGTCCTTAAATTCTTTCTTGGTCCACCAATAAATGTTAGTGTAGTACTTGAAAGTGTCAACTAATTAACTGACTTTTCTTTGTCTTTCTGCATGGCTGTTTTGTGCTGTTATTCCTCCCTGGATATTATATGGGGAAATATATTTATGGGTGACAATGGTATCCTCTAATTCATCATGCATCATAACTACATCTGAACAGTACAGGAAAAGCATGAGGAGCACAGCTTTCCCCTAATGCTCAATTATTTTGAAGGACAAAAGTCTGCAAGTGTTCCTAAACCAAGCAGAAGAGCAAAAGATAAAGCATCTGAGAAGTCAGAGAAAGAAAAGTCCAATAAAGAACGAGGATCACTTGTATCTGTTGCATCTCGACCTGAATCTCAGGTGAGAACAAATCCAAGAAACGGGATTTGCTGAATGTGCCGTCATTTTATTGAGTGTAAAGATATTTTCAGGTCTGCGGGTCAGTATTACTAGCACTTCTAATGTATCCCTTGTGTTTCTCTGTGCCCTGTTTTGCCACCTTTTTAGCTTTATACGTGAGAGAGATTGAATTACACATGTAACAGACGTGCCTCCTGCTTTAGAGATGTAATGTGCTCATTTCTTTGTTTATGTATGTTATGAACAACTACCGGTTGTTCCTTTTTTGGTCTAGCTTCTGTCTCTGCTGAAGTTTTACTAGATTCCTTGAATTCACCATACTTATGTCCCATTAGTCACTCATTGTAATGGTTTTCATGGGCTCCCAGGACGATGAAGTAGGTCTTTCTTCTATAGTCAGTTCCTGTTTCATATGTCACAATTGTCATTAGCTTGCACACAAGCAGAAATTAGTGGCAGAAAAATTGGTACGTACTTGCCTACTTGCAAATTCTTCTCATCTGTGGTGGGATAATCTGAGTGCTCTGTGGTTGACCGAAAGGCTACTGCCAGCCTGTATGCCTGAAAAGGAATAATTGACTTTATGGATTGCAAACAGATTAATGGAAGGCAAAGAAGAAACTGGCAGTTCCTCCTTTAATGGTGTTGCTTTTGCTGGGAATTTTGCTGCCTCATGGCAGGTAGTTCAAGGGGAGGGCTTCTCCAAAGAGTTTTTAATGAAGAAATCTCTACAGAACTGTTTTGTTGACTAAACCTGCTGCACAGCAAACTAGCCTCTGATTCACATCCACACCTAACTATACAGACTTCCGGACTAGTAGTGTCTTAACCCTTCTTTCGGAGCAGTCTGAGTGGCTGCAGTTGAGATTGTTGGCCACAGAAATGCAACGCAGCTTCAGGCTGTTTCACATTTCTGCTTTCAGCTCCAGTGATGGGGTACACTCGGAGTGCTGGGATGATAGCTCTTGGGAGTTTCAGTTTCAGTCTGCCACTAAAACAGATGCAAGGTTCAAGATGGAACTGCTTGCAGATAAAGAAGATGCCCACCTTTAGTCTCAAATAAAAGCTGAGCTCCTATCTCTACTTCTAAATATTGGGCTTAAAGCTTCTGTGGATGGTATGGTTTCCAGGAATATATGCAGCGCAGTATCTCATTCATCGGTCAGACAGCAGAACAGTCTCCTACACCTGAGGCACTACTTGTACCCTGTGGTTCTGGAGAAGCTATGCATTAAGGTGGCTTAGGGAATTTGGGAAGTGATTGGAAGAAAACAGGTGCCTCATAAGACAGACCAAGATGTATTTCTACACAAAAAGCCTAGTTAAAGATAATAAAATTTCTAGTAAAAAAAACTTGTGGAAGGAAGGAGAGGAAAGGAAGGAAGGAAAAGAAAAAAGCTTGACAAGAAGATAAGACAATAATCACTACAAAATACTCCTGTTCACACAGACTGTTGATAAGAACTGGGAGTGTGGAGCATGCTGTACGGGATTGAGGGGGAGCACATAAACAAAATGCCTCAAAGACCTTCTAGACATTGCAAAATAACTTTCCTTTCCTTTGGCAGCCACTGTATAATACTGCATGTTAAAGTATTATACCAATATACCAATGTATAATGTATATCAATCAGGAAAATCACCAGGATACAGAAACATAACTATCCTAAATAGCAGCAGTAGATGCATACCAATCAATGCATTATGTTTATGGTACTTCACTTTCAGCAAGCTGCTTCAAACAAACCATACTGGACTTTGCGTCTAGTTAGTGAACAAAGAGAGGCAGACGTTCTAGAGGTGAAGAAAGACACCCAGCGAGCAGATGAGATCAAAGCCATGAAACAAGCATGGGAGTCTGCAGAGCCAGGAAGAGCTGTAAAGGTAATATCAGAGTGCAATCTTTGCAGTAATGTTTCTTCAAAAGTTCCAGGAGCTGCTGTGATGGTAGAGCAGTTGCCACAACAGAGACCTGACTTGATATGGCTGTCCCCTTCACCACTCTGTGGAAGACAGGGAATTTTACACAGGTTAAAGAATCGAAAGTGATCATGTGCATGAATTCTGGGCAGGAATCCAAATCATCTCCTTTAGACTTTTGTAGATCACTGAGACTTTAGATTCCACTCTGCCAAACTGAGAAGAGTTTCTCCTTAGCCCACTACCTCTACTCAATTGCAAAGCTGCTACTTGTGACAAGTTTAATGTTTAGCATGAACAGATTCCAGTGGGAAACACACTGTTATAAACATGCCAAAAAGATTTCTCTTGAAAAACTGGCACCTGGCCATATCATCACTCAAATTGTGCCCTGCAGCCAGGATTCCCAATTTCATTCTGGGTTGCAGGTTACCCATGAGCCTGTACATGCTGCTCTGTATGAATTCATGGTTTTGGAGAAGCAATACTAATTCAGATGTCAGCTGTAGCTGGGCTCTTTTGATACGAGGTATGCTTAAGATGGAAAAATAATACAAGTTCTTTCTAGCAAAGCAAAAATTTAAGCTACTGATTGAGAATTGGAAGCATCATTACAAAAAAAAAAAAAAAAGAAAATAAAAGAAGAAAATGCAATCTTAAAAGTTATCTAGCAGTCATCTTCTATCACCACCACCACCAATGACCTTTGAGGGGTATTTGGCCAGAAACCCCAGCTGAGAAGCATTTTGCCTTTTTTTATATTACCTTTCAGAAACGAACCTCAGACACAGGTCTTCCCAGTTACACTTTCAGATTTTTCTCAGTTCTGTCCAGTGTACCCAAAGCTCAAAATTTTTTCTGACACTACTTTATTAAATTCTGATCTGAGGAGAGATGCATTACTCTGCAGCTTTGATTGGCTGTGCTGAGACTGAAAATGCAAGTACAGCATCCTAAAGATTAGCTGGAAATGAATCCCCTTTGATGTGTAAAGAGTCTCTTCAGAGCGCTGGTTCTATCACCGTTGCCTTTTTTGATCTGAAAATCAACCGAATTACAGCTGCAGGTTCCACTTTAAAAGGCCCCTTAGGTCTGTGACATTTTTCCAAAACGGCAATCGTTAAGAAAATTGCAGCAACTACATGTAATATGCTAAAAAATAGAAGATCTAACTTGTGGGTCTGATATCCAGACCAAGTAGCTTCCCTCCTTTCTTCCTGATCACCCTGCCCCAACATGGGCCTGTTGCAGGGGTCATGCCCTGTGACTCTGGGAATTAGGTGCCTGACTCCAGGCTGACTTTTGGCTTCTCCATCCATTCTGGCAATATGAGCCCTTAAGAGAAAGTCCAGTGAGGCCGAGGCACCTTCTGAAAAGACAGGCAGAAAAGACTTTGGCATCAAAGGCAATTGAGTCTGAAAGGGTTTGCCGGTTTGCACCCATAGCTCCCACTGCGCAGGAGGAAGTCTAAATCACCAGGCTATAGGAGCTCCCAAGAGGAAGAGATACTCCCCTAAGGAGGTGCAGTAGCTGAATGTTATTTGACCATACATTCAGCTATGGGGGAACAGACCTTACACTTCAGGTATTTTGTTTGTTTGTTTGTTTGTTTGTTTGTTTTAAATGCAAAGATTATTTTAAACTGCCCAGAGATCAGTGATTTTCCAGTATTTCACTGCATGATGATCTTTAGTGTAAGTACGCAGCATCTCAGGACTGTTTCACTGGGAAGCCTAGCATCTTTTCGGATTCCAGCCCCAGGCAGAGTTGCATACTGCACTCTGGTGTTAGGTTTGTTATTGACAGGCATCGTTTTCTCAATTGGGATAAGTGCTAAATATAGCCAGTATGCATTAAGTGGACTGAAACCATGCCGAGAATACTGCCTACTTTTTATTTCACTGAACTACCCTCTCACAAAGGTTTACGTAGGGGTTCTTATTCATATACTCAAGACACACTTGATATAAATTAAAAATGAACTTTAACCACTACTGCTAATTTATTTCTCCTTTATACAACACATTAAAACTAAACAAATAAAGGTTCCAAAATTTTACTCAAAAAATTGCATGTTTAATGTTGACAGGTTATTATTTCAGAAAAAAAATATCTGTTGGAGACATGGCTTGAATATGACTCTGACATGGAATGTCGTCCTCTTATATTTATCTTTTTTTCTCCCCAGTGACTCGCTAATGGTATTCCTGTTGTTAGAGGTGATGTTTTCATAGATCAAACCAGTGAAATACACTTACCAGTAATATGAAGTAGCATCATATCTCACATGCACTGGCTTTGAAGATTTACTGCCTTATTGACCACTTCGAGATTCCTGGCTTTGAAAATTCTTTGGGATTTAAAGTGTGCAGTAGAAGTTTTCTTATCTGGATTAAAACTTTGATCTCTAGGCTTTTCAGGAACGCATGCGGTTTATTAATAAGTATGCTGTGAGAGATTCAGAGGAGCCCATAGCTGGGGCTGAGACTGACAGTTTAACACCTGGTTCAGGAGAAAGAGGTAAGGGTATAACTTTCTGTCAAGTATGTCATCTGTTGATGTTCATCATGTTCAGCTTCTTAGAAAAGACTTCTGCATTAAATACTGGTAGTAAATGGATAGAACAGCCCTGATAAAGGTGTCCAGATGCGCAATGGCATGTTTAGTCTCTATGTTCTCTATCCCCTTTTTGCTTTAATTGTTGCATTGCTGTATTTTCAGACACAGATAGAGCCTCACAGCTCTTGGAGGCTGCCAATAGTTACCCTTAAGCAAACTTTAAACAGTCCTTCTGTACTAGAATTCTAACCCTAAATTAACCTGAAATTTTTGGAAGTACCTACTCCCTCAATTCCAAGTTGGGTACCAGAGGTCATTAGTATAGAAATATTTAAAAATTGTTTAGCAGCTGAAGTAGCATGTCAGTAAGACACTAAGACTTCTAATGTCCATTTTGTGTTAATGTTCATGGACAGTGTTCTGGAAGTGAGGTTTCAAGAAATGCGTACTGAGTAGCATCAGCTTCCATAAGTGTTGTCTGATTTTATTTAGTGGTTACAGCTGCTGTGGTTTCTTCATTTGTATTCCCTGGCAATCACTGGACCCTGCTGAAAATTTGGACTGGGTGCAAGGCTGCAAGGGTATTTGTTGTTTCTTTTCTTCTGATAATAATGCTGAGATCAGGACATCACAAAACAAAGTATAGTACCCAGTCTGATTGTGACAGTATCTGTTCATGGCTCATGTGCATGGAACTAGAACCTGTGACTAGTACATAACTTGTTAAGATCAGTATTTTTTCCGATCAGGTAAGTAATGCTCCTGGGAATGTTTCAGAACTTAAAGCAGTTGTCAGAACACAAGCAGACCTTATGCCATAAACTAACAGATCATTAGTTACTTCTTGCATTCCAAAGGAACTTGAAAAAATACTATTTCCTTTAAATTATTGGATAAGGACTTCAAAATTAGCGGTTGTCTACCAGGAGCTTTGTTCCAAACTAAGCATTTGGAGTCAAATACAAAGACTCATGAAGTCAAGAGGTGATACACCAGTGACATTAAGTTGTTAATGGTTCGGTTCCATAGAGTGCAGCAATAGGCAATAATGTGCTTGAACATTTCTGCAATAGTTGGTATCTTAATGAGAATTTTTATGTTCTGGATAATACTTTTCTGATGGGCAGTGTCTTAGGCAGTTCCAAAGTCCATTCACCCTTCTAGACCAAGAGAGAAGGCTGCTATATATGTCTATGTATAAACAGTAAATATATAGACAGTAAATTTTTTTAATGCTCAGAAACCTCTTTCCTACTTTTGGTGAGAACATTCCAGTAATAGTTTTTAAAAGTTTCAATTGATTATTACAATAAGTAGAGTAATAGAGAGTTTTTATTGTAACAAACTACTACAGTCATTGTTAAATCTCATCAAATTTCACACGCATTTTCAGCACATCCAGATGAACTGAAAGAAGGAAGCAGTGGAATAATCACAACACAGCTTAGCCCAGTGGCATGCTAAATATCAGATATGTCATTGTATTGTGAGAATGCTACACTAAAGCATAAGATGGTTACTATCCACATAGTTTAAAAAAATCTAAGACTTAAGAATGACAATTTTAAGTTGTCATTGCATCTTTTTTCTTTAGACTGGCATTTCCCAAACTAAATTTCTGCCCAAAAGTGAATATAGTTTTTTTAAAATACAGCCAGGACTGAACACTTGGATTTTTATTGGTTTTTTTTTTTTTAAATAAAAGAACGTGATTCCTTGCTGATTAGAAGTTGTTCTTACATTCTTTAGGCACTTGAAAGTGAATGTTCTTGCTTAGGTTTACAAACCCTCTTAAGTGCTATGGATATAGCTAAAATACATAAATTAGTTTCAATTTAGCATATGTCGGGGTTTTGCAGCATTTTTTATTCTATCATTAGCGTTGGAAAATAAAATAAAAAGGCAGAACTATTATATCCTTTCTAACCCATATTCTCATTTAATAATGTATTTTGCTGAGACAAGAGAGGAAAAAAAATATAGAAGTATTTAGATGGAGCCTCCTAGCATAACTGAATAACCAGTTTAATCTGTTCTGTTGTAGATTCTCTTATCACAGGAAAGAAAGCATCACAAGCAGCTATGGACTCAAGCTTACAAACACAGCAAAAAAAATGGGATCCTATAGACCTTAGTCCTTACATGAGGTAAACTGCAGCAAGAACAATTAAGTCCCAGTGAAACACCAAAATGAAAGACTGGCTAAGGTTTTTTATATATAGGAATTAGTAAATGCAATATATTTTAATGCACTTGTATCTATAATTGGATGCAGTATGATTGACGTGAATTTAGACTTTATCCTTCACATATCATTGAAGTAAGCTACAATTCTGTCACATGCTTGTTAAAGTTGCTGTGAAAATCCTGGCCCGTGTTTTATCTGTCCTTTATGTTGTGTACACAAAATCACTCAGTAGTCAATGCAGAAGTGTAGATGGCATCAAGATACAATTTTCAGCTTTGATTTTTCCTGGCGTGGGTGTGTTTTAAAATCTGTGCTTTCCTATATCCATTTACAATTTACATCCTTTCCTTAACATAATACATGTCAAAGGAGCTGAATTACTGCATTACATGTAATGAGAATGTGACATAAAAATCTGCAGAAAATGCATGTGCAGGTAAATATCTTTATTTCAGTGGTCATCTTGAAAGAAGCACATACAAAGTTTGTCAGGATGTGATGCTAGATTCAAATAATATACTTTACTTAACAAATGCAGTTGAGTTAAAAATAATAGTTAATAGCTGAAATAATTATATTAATTATACTATTTATTCAAAAGAGCTGTATTGTTTATTACATGTGTTGATATGAACCTATCTAGCTAATATACATGCACCTGCATGTTTGCTGTGCTACAGCTAGAACCCGGTTCATGCTTAGGTCTATTTGTATTCAGTGTGGCATTTATGCAGCTCATTGATTTTCAAAAGACCTTAGAACATGCTGAAAAAATCCCCAAATTGAATTTTAAATTGAAACGGAAACTGGTGTTATATTGAAGTGAGTAACATTAAAACAGTAGAAAATATGGCAAAATAGCTTCCACAGGCTTGTAAGCATTTTGTCTTCAACTCCTTGACTTTTACACTAGTCATTTGTCAAATTACAAAAATATATGATGCACTTAGCTGCCATTATGCCAATGGCAAAAAAAAATAAATTACACTTGTCTCAATGCTAAATTATAGTATCAAAAACTTATGCAAATATGATATTTCTTGCAAATTAAAGATAAGTGTCATATGCTCAAAGATGAGCATGATTTTACAAATATTTTTAAAATAAACACTTAAGTATAAGAAGGCCTGGACTCAGGAATGTACTTTCTCATCGGGGTTATATACAGGCAGAAGAAAAGTGACTCCTTAACCATATCTAACCATACGATGGTGACATTGCAGTATATAAGCCAAATATATGCATATAGGTGTTAAGCAAAATACATACCACCCCAAACTGTATTTGAAATGAGACAAATGTCTTTGTATTTCCTTCAGAAAAACAATGTCTAAGTCTGTGCTAAGAAATGAGTCTATCATTCAACAGCAAGAGATACATAAAACGGAAAAAATCAACCATTTTAGGGAACTTCGAGAGCTGGCTTTGGAACAAAGAGAAAAAGAACAAAATGCCAGATCTTTATTGAAGCAAAATATACTTGAGATGTATGAGAATCTGCAGGTAGGTTTTCAAGATTACTTTCCAGTAACTATTACTGTAATACCCACCACTAGTATGAGTGTCTTGATGAACCATTCTTAAGACTTTTGTATTCAGTACCAGTAGTTAGAAACAGTGAATAAGCTTGAACTTTTGCTTGGGCAAATGTTAAAACTAAAGGTTCTAGGGGAAAAATATAGTACTACACAATATGATATTCTTATATCATACATACTTTCTTCATACAGATCTTTGCAAAAATACTATCTTAAAAATGTCACCATCAAAAGATAGATAAAAGTGAGCATAATTTGAGCATTTGATATTTATGACCAGATGCATATTAGATAAAACATCTCTGGTTAGGCTATTTTGTTGGTTATAGAATTGTATAGGGCTTTTTGGCAAGTAACAAAGAACAAGATAATTTACATAGGAGGATCAGTTGCTCCTAATGTGTCTTAACAGCAAAGTTAGAGAACACAGTTTTCCTGAAATATGCATGATGACAACAAGCAAAAAATTAGAATTATTAAGCCTTAAAAGACTATGTCTATAAATAACAAATTCGGTAGCATCAGTGTAGGATCCAGTGTTAGGATTAACCCAGCCAATACATTGCACATGACATTGGTACAAATATCTTAACAAAATTGTCTTAACCCTTGAGTGTAAACAGGAACAAAATATTTTGTTACACAGTAATGATACAATAACCACTAATAATCAGCTAATGACTATTCAGGACTCTTAAAACTGGCTAAGAGACAGTAAAAATAATTTTACACCAAACCAACCTACTTACAGAAATCACTTGAAAACATCTCCTTAACAAACTCCCAGACAGCCTGATTTATATTACTTATACTAGTCTACTAGACTACAAGTCTGCAAGGAGCCATAGCTCTCTACCAGTGACTGATTGATCCCTGATAAGAATGCATGTCCAGGTTTTCAGATGTTGCTATGATTTTGGATGCCTAGCATATCATATATTAGAAGGGAAATTTTTTATTAAGAGTAGTTCCCTGGCTCTTTCTATAAAGTATGTCCATTAAAGATGTTTCACAGTACTAATTTAAAATGAGAGTTACTTGTGAATATGCATACTGTGCTGATTAGCACTTTCAGAGTTTTTTCATCTGCAGACCACAGAGAACTATCTAAAGGTATCCAGGTATCCCCATTTTCCAGGATGGAAATGTACGGAAAAAGTTCTCAGAAGTGTCCAAGTCCCACTTGCCATGAGTCTCCTTGAAGGTGAATGTGATCTAGGCTTCTTTAGTCTCTTTGAAGACTAGAGCTCCTAAACCATTTCAGCATTTCTGAAAACTAGTTTTTAAGGGACTTAACAAAGCAAGCCAGTAACTGAATAGGGATTAGACCCCAGTTAGGGGTAACTAGTCTGTTGCCCTATCCTCCTTTCACACAATTAGCTTATTATGCCAGCAATTTAAAAAGGATTTTCATGAACTTTCTGTTCTTCTTCGTGGTGAACAGATTGACATATAGCTGTGTCACTGTGACAAATCAATAAAAATACACATAAAAAGGAGAGATGCCCTCCCTGTACTTATAAAGTAACAAAGTGAAACACAACATGTAGAATGTAGTTGCTTGTGATAAAATCAGGATTCATGTGTTGGTGGGGGGTATTGCTGTTTGTTTTTGGCTAGGCATCCTTAGATGAAACACGAGGCAGAGTTCACAGGATTCGGGAAGCATACCGAAGTGCGCTGCTAGAGGCCGAGTGCAGAAAACAAGAAGAGCTGGCAGCTCATGAGGCAGTCCTGCAAGCGGAGCAAGAGAAGAAAACCCTGAATGCACACAAAAAAAAGCAAGGAAAGGGCTTAGGGAAAAAAAAGTAGTTGCTAGCACTACTGAATTGTATTTACAGTTTGGGAAAGAAAGTTTATATGCAAAGATGAGGAAGAATGTTTGTTATTTTCCAGTATTTTTGTCAACTATATCACATTTTATCTCTTTGCCTGCTGCTAGTGAAAAAATTGATCTAGTATTCTTCTTTTTAACAAAGTGTTTGGTATTTTGCTTCCCATAAAGGTACTCACTACTATTAAAGTTTGTATGTTTTACTGGAATAAAATTTTGCAACAAAAAATCATACTCAATTCAGATTCTTTTGCCAAAATCACAGTGTGTTTAGTCCTCTTTTTCCAGTCAAAACAGAACCAGACAAGAATGAATCAGAGTTGAAACAGTGAATGTAACCTATCAGTTTTGAAGTCATTTAACTTGGCAGAAACATGAGCTCCTTAAGTGGATGACAATTTATGGCGTTTATAATAATTAAACAGTGGCATACCGCACTATTCATATGCAGGCACTGGAAGGCTTCCCAAAGCCTGGTTCAGTAGGCACTCACAAGCTTTCTGTGTACTGTACTATTCTTCCCTTTCATCATTCTCTTAAGTGTTTTTGAATCTCACAGTAACTCTCTGTAGTGGCAAACTCATCGCACAACCCTCCAAGGCTTGTTGAATACTCCTTAAAACCCTGTTACTCTCTTTCTTGTTTATCTTTCCTAAGCTTTGTTTTGCCAATGGTGGCTTTGCCTAAAATGAATACCCTTGGCTCCTAGACCTTTGGCTGGAATTTTAAAATGTTTCTTAAAGGTAGAACCAGTGTGTGAATCAAGTGGCAATCACGGGCTTTCTACATGAAGGGTAAAATATTTCCTCTAAGCTCTTGCTTCCATTAGCATAGGATTTGTATTTTTTTGGTATTGTCATCTAACACAAAAAAAAGAAGTGCATTCATACTCACTAGCTAGTACTCTGTACTCGGAGACAATGGTCAAAACTCTTAAAATTATAAAAACTCTCTCTAGACCAGACAGAGCTGTTGTAAATGGCTTAAAGAACTTCCTGTGTATGCAGTCACAAACAGAAGCTTGGGAAGTTAGACTACCTACATATTGTACACATACAGTATGTCCAGGATGTCCAAAAGCATTTCATTGTCTAGGCAACATGAGAAACCATGGGACTTGCCTATTTAATGCTAATCGCAAGAAATGTTATCCTTTGCATTCTGGCCACTGGTACTGGCTAGCCACTGCATTTGAAACTAGCCTTTCTTCTGCATCTTAATGACATACTAGATGTTCAGTTTCTGCTGGTTTTGCTCACCTCTGTGCTATCAGTACCTCACTGCTTGGCTTGAACTTGACTCACTCCTCTATCAGTTTTGCGATATCTGTTCTTTGTATATCATCACACTTACACACCTGCTGTGATGCCTCTGCCTCCACTCGGCCTCCTTCCTCCCATACAACATAAACTGAACTAACTGACTTGAGTTTTCGTCTTTGAAAAGGAGGAATTTAAACCAGAGTCCTAAAGCTGCACTGGTGATTTTTATTTCAAAGAGCGGGAGCTAAGTTTTGCTTTGACCCATACAGGCTGCAAATAAAAAGCCTGGCAGTCTTATGCTATAACTGCTCTTTGTCCTCTCTATTTTGGAATATGGGCTATACTGCTTCATAATATTCCATCTTGTTTCCATGGCAATAGCACGTGTTGGTTGTCTTCTTGTGTGAATCTCTAATGAGCTTCTGTAGAGGAAGATCAAGCTGAAGTTCTGTTCTTGATGTCACTGCAAGCGCTATAATGACATTCTGTTGTAAAAATCAATCCGATTCCAAAAGCCAGCATAATCGACATCTAAATGTCAAACATTCAGCTAATAACCTGCATGATCACAACCCATCCCTGCATGCAGTCAGCTATAAACAGACTTAAGCTCAGACACAATGTACTCGGATCTACATTATCAAATCTAGTTCTGATGTTATACACAATGCTAAGTTTCATAATTTCCTCATTGTAAAGAGTAATGTGGCATCATCAGAATCTGCTCTGTGGTTTATGAATGTCTCTATTGGCTTATTTATCATTTCAACAACACAGATATGATGAGGGAATTAATTCCTGTCACATTGTTTAATTGCATGTACTTTGGAGTATGTAATGTTTCAAGGGACACACAGTAGCAGTTCTATTAAATTCCCGTGCATATTCCAGAAGAGCAAAATGTCCACTTACTTACCTCATAATGAAACCTGGGAGAGAAAAGGCCTTGTTCGGACTGTGCCAAAGAACTTACATACACTGGACCCAGAAACAGATGACTGATGAAATTTTATATGCATCATTTTTACATCAACACGGCAGCTTTTTACATGGTGCACTACATTACAGGTTAAGTTAGTGCAGAAAGATGTACAAAAAGTAAACCAAAATGTGACTGTATTTCAAAATAGTCATTTGCAGTAATTTAAGGAGCCATCGAGTTTAGCACTTTACTGTAAGAAAAACAAATAAGTGAAACTATATGTTGTGGTTTAATAGATATGATTGTTGCCTCCAGTTTGTAGACCAAGCTTGTCCAAAAGTCAAATTGTGTGTTCACATGGATAAAGCACTTTTTCCCTTTAGGAGTAAGACAGCTTTTAAGCACCATAATTTTAGGAAATTTAACTGGCCTTTATATCAAAGGAATTTACTGCCTGTATTCAGGATAAGAAATTGCTCAAATTCTGTTTTTACAGATTGTACATTTCAGAAATATGCCATATTGCATCAAGCATTCATATTTTCTTAGGGTTTCTGGTAATAAAAGCTCTGGAATTTGGATAGTCATTGTTCCTGCTTATACTCAGCTTGGCCATTCAGGGCCAGATTCAGTAGGGGCGCAAGGACAAGCTTTAAATTATGTGCTTTCGTGTTCAGTACAGGACTTTAGCAAAGGACTGAAACATGAGGTCAAGCCCTTTACAGAACAGAATAGATAGGCAAAGCTTTTCTGAATCAAGACATGATTGCTCCATCTTTTAAGATGACAGTCGTTTTGGAGGTGCAATAGAGGAATGGCTGCATCAAAGCATACTTTACCCGGTATCTGGTGGCTGCAAGTCACAGAAGAGAGGGTTTGAGTTTGGGGGGTGGAAGCAAGGGCTGAACAGTTGCCTTCTAATGTTTCTTACAGAAAATCATCCTTGAGAAAGTCTGCATAGTTTGTCGCTTACTTACACAGCCTATAATTTTTGTTCATGGAAGACTGTATATGAAGAACAACCCTAAATGTTGGAGTTTAGTTGTCTTGTGCCTTGGAGAGTTACATACTTCTCCCCTGAAATGCCGAATATGACCCCTGAAGAAGAGTATGGCAATAGCCATCTCTACATAGATGAAGAGGATGGGGTACTCCAACAGTTCAGAAATCCTGATCTGTCTTTGGCAGAAGACTGTGTGCTTCTTAGAGAGCCAGTGCCCAATAGTCTGATATGATCTTCTTTCTGTGTTTGTGTGATTCTCTCACAACTTAAGTACCTCCAACTCATCAGCCAAATGCAGAGCTAATTCCTATCTCTGGTTAAAATGCCGTAGGACAGTCTCTTAGTATCTGGTCATTGCTGAGGACTTGCACAAGGAGAAGCGGTTTCAGGAATCAGCATAGCGGCATATGAGAGACAAGCCTGGCTTTCCTCCTGTGGACTAACTATGCAGTTTGAGAGACCTGATGAGGTCAGAGCTCAGGGCAATACTGGAAATATTTTACAATTACACTTTGTGATTGGCTGGAATTTTGATTAAAGAGTTAAAGATTCTTTAGAGCAGGAGGACATCTTTCAGAGCATCTTTAATGTTGAGCTGCATTTTTGTAGTGGTAAAACAAAAAGAATTCATTTACTGTACTAATTCCTGATATTAATTTCTCTTTCATATGAAGTATAGCCAGTTATGCAACGGAAAATGTCACTGTTCAGCAGAAGTTTTGCAAAGTTTTGATGGAAACTGCAAATGCCACAGGAGAGTGAAAACTTTTCAACATGTTAGACTGCATTGTGAATAATCCTTAAAGAATTCCTTAGCGTTTGCTTGCTTTACTGCTACATTTTAGGGAAAAGGTGGCATTCACAAAGCGATGCAGGTACCTGAGAAAGAAATTAAGTCTTTGACTTGATAATTCAGTTTAATGGGGATTAACTCTGTAAAGAGTTAATCACTTCTAATAACTCTTTGTAGGTGTGTTCTGCTAAGCTTTAGCGGTTTTCACTGCTTGATCCTTTTCTTTTGACCAGCTATTAGGAACTAGAAAGGATCTTTTTCATTAAAATACATAACTAAAGTTGCTTTTTAACGCGAGTAGCTTCATTAATCTTCAAATTACTTGTCCCATCTGCTTTGCTTTAATTTGGCTGGCATTTACACAATGCGTTACAGACCAAAAACCAGACCAAGCCCGTTCCAGGATGCCTCGCTGCTGAGACAAGCAATGTGCTGCGAAATCGGGCTCAGTTTGGAGCTGCCAGTCTGCTCACCCCAGCAATGTGCAATTTAGCAGCTATGTAAGGTCTCATTTTAATTCAAGAAACAGACACAGCATTTATGCACATGCACAGCATTTCCCCTCCAAAAGGCAAGAAAAGTGTCTACATATTTTGTCTGGCAGAAAACATAAGAGAACAGCTTTGCATAATCACACAGCAGTTTGCAGAATGAAAGAAATCTCACTTTCAGAGCCCTTTTTTCCTCTCATTCATTTCTTGAATCAGCCCTAATTCACAGTCCAGGTAATGTTTCAGTGATTTAAATATTATTGTTATTTGCAGAAAACCAAGATGCTGTTGTCCTCCGTCTCAAAGGAGGACAAAGACAGGAAAGAAGTAGAAAGTCAGGGAAGGAGAGGAAACAGTCTGCATCGTATGAAGTGAGACAATAGCACAAAAGAAAGGTGTGTTGAAGATGTTACTAGCTAAAATAAGAGAAAAGAGATGGGGGTGGCCAGGTCAGACTCAGGACCTTTGATTTCTGTGGCAAAATGAATGTGGTTAGGGCCAGTGGTT